AATGAGAAATGAAATGGAAACTGGGGTTATATAGTGGTTTATAGGGTAGTTGATCAAGTTACTTGTCCGCAAAATTGCCATTATCGAAAATGCGTTCCCCTATGTTTTTCTTTACAGACCTACAGGATCTCTAGATAGATTACTCAAAACAACTTTCTCTCAACCCCCGTATCCTAAACCAAAACTCCAAAATCCTAAATAATAGTTTCTATTTTCTTTTCCACTGCCCCTATATAACCCCCACTAGGCCAATTCCAATTTTCCAGAATGGTCCAGCTTGCCTTAAACCCTAAACCCTAAACCCTAAACCATGTGGTCCAGGTTGGCCTTGGCTGGGCGGCCTGAAGCATGCGAAACATTAGTGAAGGAGCACATCGAACAGATTTGGCTCAGTGTGTAGGGCTTGCTCATTGGGGATAATGGAACAGAACCTGGAGACTACTATCAGGGTATAGAGGGTTAGGCCTGCAGGAACATACCCTGGATGATGCCAGGATCCCCGAATTAATTTTAAGTACATTCCTTACGTAAGGTTAAAGGATGGCTGGTTTTCATTCAAGGCTCGGAGAGCTTGGTCATGGAACTAGCCACTTCCAACCTGAATGCAAACGTGAGCGCAGATTTGAAGATGTACAAGGTTTGTTTTCTATATGGAGAGTATTGATAGGGGTGGGTGGGGTGTCGTTGCTGAAGATTACGCTGAGTCTGCTCATCTTCTTGGTGCTTCACGTTTGCAATCAACTATCCTTGCTTGGGAGGGGCTCGCGCATCCTGATTTTCCCTTGGCAGGCGTCATGACGCAATCATCAGGAAGATGGTGTTTGATGTCATGGTGATGGTACGTGAACTGCTTCATCGCCTCTCATGTCTCTTTCTCTGCCAGGTCAGGTGGTGCTGAGCCCTGTGCCAATGTGCTACCAGTAAATATTCTTGCTGAAAGCAGAAGCCCTGCGAATTGCAGATCCCTTCCTGGCAGCTCAATTTCTGGTGAGGTTTTTTCAATTGGAAACTTTCCACAGGTGGTGACCGAAGATTGCATGTGTCCTGTGTACAGGACTGTTGCTAGCTCCGACGTTGTTTTGTGCAGTAACTCCTTGTCACGCATGCTGGACAGGTGCATCTTTTTGCACTGGAAGTCAGCAATTTGGGCAAGCAGCTGCACGCGACGGATCCTGGCCACTTCCCCATCTAGTTCCGCACAGTCGGACAAAGCTGTCAACGTGAACCGCGGCAACCCAGGTGAGCCTCAGTCTTTGGCTACCCGGTGCCAAGACATACAACAAACAACTTCTGGCAATGAGCTTGGAGCGTTGACATAAATGTCTGACTGATGATTTTGCAGTAGTGCCTAAGAGGCCAACCTGCTCAAAGAAGAGAGTCCCGCGCAACTCAGATCTGAGAAATCTATTTGCACCAATCTCGAGCCTACAGAGCCTTCAGGACTTGTGATCAGGTGCGGGCTTATCCATGCTCGTCTGGCTTTTGTGATTTGCGTGGGATTTCGACACGTCCTTGGATGTCTAATGTGCATGTTTTTTGGGTAAGGAAAGGCATTAGCCACAGTAATAGGCAGCTTCAAATGAGGCCTGTCCACCGCATAGATGGCAAGCCTGAACAAGCAATCTTACAACATCTTACAAACCAGGCCAGGCGTTTGTCTATCCCTCTCCACCACGGTGTGTGGCACAACTCTGGCTCCATCTTGCGCAAACATGTAGCTCAGTGCGGAAGGGTCGCTCATGACATAATGCTTGGGATCGAGGGCGTAGTCTCAGCACTGCTTCAATTTTCCAGCCTTACCTGAGACTTAGGTTCTGTTTCTGCGCAGCACCGATTCCTGACATGGCAGGCACTGCTCCAACTGGCTACGCCGCGTGAGCCCGGCGCTAGCGACAGGACCAAGAGGCAGGACTCAATTCACGAAAGCAACGCGAGCGATGCGAGACGCAGTGCATTTTGTTGTATTCTACAGACGAATGGTCAGAGACATTGCGACGGGCTTCCCAATTCCGATTCAACATCCTCAGACGCATTGAACATTACCAGTACAGTCCTAGGTCAAAGATCATTCTGATTCACTGGTGGTCCTTGTAAGCCAGACTGAACTGGCAGGCGGGCCTTCAGTCGCGAGTATGCCGCCTATGTCAGGGCCCGCAGTCAGGGCAAGGTCATGGAAGGAGGTTGGCTTTGTTGAGAGCATTCCAGTTTTCTTAGTTCAATCCAAAAACCAGGAGGACCTTATTGGGGTCCCCATAAGAGGCAGTAAAGCTTATTGTGGTCTATATTGGAGTCCTAGGCAGTTTGCATGCTTGGATTCTAGGACAGAATCTGCTGTTCACCACAGCTTGTGGAGTTTGATTTCCGCGGAATTTGATCGACTCCACTCTGAGCTTAGCGGTCTGAGGGCGACGATCTCCTACTCTGCTTTACACAGCTGATTTGCATCCCTTTTCTTGGCTCCGGTTAGCAAGGAATAAAGGAATGGATGGGATCCTTCTAGTAGTCCCTATATAATCCCCTTTGCTGCTGTAGTTCATTCCCTGGTAAGCGGACATAAGTTTGAGACGTGCAGGGCTCTCCCAAGACTAGCTCTGGGGGCCGTTGCGAAAGTTTCTCGGTCTCGGCAAGATGTAGGTGGTAAGATGCAAGGCTCTGGTGTGGACCGCACCCAATTCTCAGAACATGTTCTGATGGCCGGTTTCGATATTTTAGCACATGTTCAGTGAGCATGATGGCCAGCTGGATTTGCAAGTCATCTATGAGCATGGCATCAAGTGGCTGCTGCGTCTAGCATTTTGGCCTGCAAATACAACACTTTCAGTCCCAAACTCCTGAAATCCAGAGCCTCAGTATGATCGTCGCACTTCATATGTACCCCGTCAGCTTGCTGAACCACAGAAACCCAGGCGCAGGAGGCGGCCGGAGCGCTACTCCAGGGCGTCGCCACCACCACGGGCGAGAGTTTCATGGATGTGTCAGGTTTCCCAGGAAACTCAGGGATTTTAGAGTAGTGGCAGAAGTGTTGCATGTTTGGAGCCTGCACAGCCCAACTACTTTTTGTAGGAGTTGAGGTCAGGAGAGATTCCCAAGCTTCGAGAACTTTCCCAGGTGGCGGACCTCGGCAGATGACGGGTACAAGAGCGCTATCTTCCATGCTGCAGTACGCTGCAGGGATCTCATGGAGGGACACGGATGTAAGGCTTGGCAACTGACAGGATTGGGCCTTCGTGCTACTGCAAGTATTCGAGGAACTTGTGCTCCGTGTCTAGGCGTCATTAAGAAGTCCAGGCTTCGCAGATACG